GCAATTACCAAATCACGGTTTGAGATTAAAGGTATCTCGTGGCTGTAGTGAAGACCGTGTGTTCGTCACTTTGGGAACTTGCCAGAACCAGTTATCGGATCAGCAGGTTTGTGTGAGCGCATGGAACTGCTCCCTAGCCTATAAACCGGTGATTGCATCTCTCGTATCCTTTCACATCGAATCCCGTAACTATCGCCTACGGAAACTTGAAAATTGTCACCTTGACAGTTTGAGAAAGAAGAACCATTGTAGCCACAAGTCTTTGCACCTCTTGTTTTTCGGTGGTTCATCGTATCGCCGATTTCGTTGACACAAAACCCGAGAACACCAATGCCCAAATCACGTCAACTTCACAGGCACCATTTACCACCCACTGTCTTCACCACTAGGTGGGGTTTGGTAGATAGCCCGCAAGCCACAACATATCAGTTCAACAAACAATATGCTGCCTGTCCACATGTGCAGGCAATAGTGCTAACCGCTTGCAGTAACAAAGGTCATCTGCAATTATTCAAAGACCAATGCTGCCCTTTTACCCTTTCTCCATCCATCGTAGGACTTCTCTCATTTTAACTGATTAAGTGGGCTGCGTTGCGATTTTTGAATCCACACCATGTCCGGTGATGTACACTCGCCACGTTGGTGATGGAGAATCTCAAAAATGTGGCACTTGTGTAAACGCAACGTGTTTGGTGAGTTACGGCATGTCACTTCGGGGTCGAAAGGTGTTGAGAGAACTGCGATTAACATCTACACGTAGGAGTCTCGCGACCGATTAGCAAGCGAGACAAAGAATGCTAAATTAGACTCAAGTTTCTACATAAAAATACGGATTTTGTGGAAGGGGGATGGGGCCTTAGTGCACTCGTGTGTGACTTGTTATTGATCAGATCATTTACGTGAGACGTGCTGAGAATAAACACGCTCCAGTTGGATTTCCTTATATCTCGTATGTGCTTTCGCGTTAATTTCTTTAGTTTGCTGTCGATCACTGGTCATACATTTTTACATATCTGCGTATATATTGAGGCAGAACTACATCAATAACTAAAAATTTTTACTTAATTCCAGCAATACAAACCCCCCCCCCAATCGGGTAGTTTTGTTGGCAGTTTACAATTGGTGTCAATCACAAACCAGAACGGAATACGTGCATTTAACTTCTTCTACTTTAACAGGTGTGAAATTCAGGCGCAAAATGATTAAAGACGAATTTTTGCAGTATTTGGGAACACAATTAGTTCAATTGTTTAGATATTTTCCTAATAGTCGTACACAAAACGCAGCCTTTATCGGCTGTACTAAATCTGGCATCTTCCAGAAAAATATTCGTCTTCGGCCTCTGTATCCGAACGGCTTATAAGGGAAATTGTTACTAATTTCATGAATGCCTCCAATGTGCAAATAGTTTTGTGAGGCAAAGAAGAGCTAGCTCATACGCAGTTCGTACTTTCCTTTATTTAAACTGAAGACCTGATAATAAACCCGTGTTTTGGCCTCAACGGTTAACCCTCTGGTTTGTCGTTTGTTCATTTTTTGTGTCCAGCATACTTTACGGCACATTGGCGGGATGAAGGTGAACAATGCCGTAGTTAGTGAAGGGAATTCATCGGGATCGCGTTGCATTAGCAGAAGTGCAACACGTGCGACACTTGGTGAACGAATTCATGATCGGTTTTCCCTTGTGTGCTAATATTGCGTGTTTGACCTCGTGCATTTACATACGTGTGGTGCTATTTCTTTTTTATGGTCTTGAATTGCTTCAAATTCAATCCGCTCTTTTAAGAGTAATCTAGGATCCGTTCTCTTTTTCACCGCACTTCATCAGTACGTTGATAATTTATCTTGTCACTCTTTTCTTAGTATGCATAACCTTTCTAAAGGGCTTTCTATGCTCTCCTTTACTTTGCCCTAACAAGTAATCACCGTTAATCGCTTAAAATGAATGTTACTATTGATTGGAGTACCTTAAGAAGTTGAAGTGGATCGTCACCGCTATCAGATTCGTTGGTGTTTAAGGACGGTAAATCCAAGATATTTTTTAATTTAATTATAGGCTATGCCTCTTGAAGTATTTAATGGACGTTCTAAATATAAGTAAATAACTAACTAATTTACTCTTTACCGTAATTCTGTATTTAAATTAATTCTATCCCCAAAAGCGTGCAGGAATTTCTACACCTGAGTAGGTTTACAAAAGTTGTCGAAAGGATTTATTCTGCACTGCTAAATATTCGATCCTAGTGTTCCTATTATTAAGATGCATTGCAGAGCCTTACGATGGATTTTTTTAAGAAAATCCTAGAAAATTTATTGAGAGATCTTATCTTTAGTGTCAATATTCACTAAACATATTGTCAGTATTTGTCCAGCAACCCGTCACTATGACTGTAGTCTTATATTTTGAACACGCGTTGCACTGAAACGAGAAAGCCAGTTTTCTGCTTTAAAACAGATAATTTAATGGAATGATATTTCTGTTTACCCAGTATTTGTTGTTCGCGTCAGGGCTATTCACACCAACTAGTTTCTCCACATTATCACAAACATTTGAAGGGTGGTCTAGACTTCATAGCTGTCCTGTTGTAACAACGAGTCATTCAAGTTCATGCTGTTTTTAACAAGAATAAACGAACAAATAGGGACAGGAAAGGTGCAAATCGTAAGAATGCATAAAGTCAACAGATTTGGTCACTTGCGTCTCCTGCTGGATGTCTCATATCATGAAACGATTTTCAGAGTTGAGGTGAGTGGGTGGGCCCGTGCTTCTCCCTCCTGTCACTGGTAGAGAATCCAAGCCCGTTGAATTGTACGTTGTGAAATTTTGATAGTGGCCCTGCATAGGTTGGCGATGCTGAGGTGAATTGTGCCAGTTGTTGAGTTGAGCCTGGTTTTGCATCGGATACCTCGACGAAGACTGCAATTGACTTGGATTGCTCGGCCCAGCAAACTGGTGGATTATTCCATTATACATGAGAGTGTTAAGCGGATTTTCTGTGTTCGAATGAGGTGATAGAGCCTGTTCCTCTTCGGTACTCACGATATTAGGCTTCTGAGTAGTTTGGTACTGGCTCCTACTCTGCCCACCTCCACCAACCATCATGCTCCCACCAGATGTCCGTCCGACGGTCGGCACTTGCGGTTGGGCATGATGTGGAGGTTGAGGAGGCTGCGTTGGTCTAATTGGGTTCTCCTGAAAAGTTCTTATATCTGGACAAGCTTGCTCCAACTGGCGATTTAACTGTTCCTCCAGATCATCATTTTCTTCAGGTATGAAAGCATCTTTTGGCTGATTTGCTGAAATAGCAGCCCGTAGGAGGGTCAGGTCACTAGGTTCAACGCCTCCTGGAAAACTAAATACACTTTTCACTCCACCTGGACCGACTTCTTCGGCAACGAGGTACTTCTGAATTGCCTCGCGATGAACCATATGTTCTTGGCGAATAGGCGATTCTGGTAGGGCTCCACAGCCACTTCCGGGACCACAACTGCATCCCCCTGAAAATAAATTTCTTGGTTCACGCCTTACAAGCGCACTACCTTCCTGATTTATTTCTGAAGTGTTTGGCTGGGAGACGAACTGAGGCTGCAACATAGAAGAGTGGGAGGGACTCGGATGAGGTGGGTGCATGGGTACCATTTCACTTACACCAAATCCAGCCCTGTTGGGTCCGGTAGACATTACAGTACTGGTGATTGAGTGTTGAGGTCGAAGATCAATGCGATGCAAGGGGTTTCGTGGAGGAAGCAAAGCGGCTTGACTTGTCAGTCCCCGTTGTTCAAACCTCTGACGTGCGGCTTGGAAATCACGATAGTCATACGTTGTTCTTTCGTCCATGTCAGACTCGGATGTGCATGGTGGTTGGGGGTTGCTAAGGTTCTGAGAATAGTAACCTCCATAATGAATAACTGAGTGAATTGGGGAGCCCTGTTGATATGGATTGGCATGGAGGCTATGTCCATGATGGGTACGTGGCTTGCGATTGGCGTGTGAGTACATCATGATCCGCCTATCGATTTCCTCTTCACCGCGACGTTTACTTTCAGCGATGGATGTATTAAAAGGGTTTTGTCGAGTATTTGAATTAACTGTTGGAAGGTGTTGTCGAGGAGGTGCAGTTCGACGCTGCGAGGGAGCGGAGGGCTCGTAGTTTGTCTGTTCTACTATGTAACTGCTTGCCTGGTTCCCAACTATATTTGTTAGGCCGGGAAAATAGGTTTCAGCGCGAATAACTATTTCTTCGAAGGGATCTTCTGTTGAGTCAATGTAGCTTAATTTTGGCTGGGGAACCTCATGCTTCCTTTTGCCAATCGCAGCAGAGGGGTCAATATGCGTTGCTTCTATCGAATCAATATCAGCTTCAGATCCCTCAGAAATGGGGCTTCGATGATTAGTGAGGGCTTGTGCCGGTGGTGGCGCGGAAACAGAAGAAGTGGCACTGACTGGGGGATCACGTACTCGAAAAATCATTCGGATTCAGCTGCATGAGACTACCCGTTTGAGTGAGTGTCTCATCTTTTGCCGGTGTACCGGCTCTATGGCCTACTCACGCATGATTGGCTGCATGTTTGAGGTCACGCTCACACAGTGGTGGACCCTTATGCGGCAAGGCTCGAATAAACGCAGTCAGTAACTACGAAGATGACCCCGTAAAAGTGAAGTGCGCAGTTCGAACTAGAGCATCTTTACTTTTTGGCCGTGTGAGTATGGTTCATTCCAGAATCTTCAGCCATTAAGTTTATAGGGTAAATTGACTATTTTCCTAGTTAGCATAAGTATTTTTGCCTTTTTTTGGGTTTACCGATGAGACTGTTAGTTTCAATCAGGAAAGAAGTTGCGCCGATAAAAAGCAAAAATTGCATTCCAGATTTTTGCATTCACTAAATACTCTTACGTTTGTTTGTGCTTGATGGTCAGATAAATCAGCTGAGATTGGGTAGATAACTCTTTAAAACAAGAGAAACAAGGAAAACGAATAACATGTAAGTCACTTATGGGCACACAAATACATTTTGCTAGAAATATTAGGCACTGTAATTGGACAAATTACAAGTAAATACTCTCGTCAAAGAAAATCAGTTCATTTAAAGAAAACTTTATATAACGAGACTCGAAAATTTTGGAAACGAAAATATTGTGAACTTATTAAACGAGATATTACAAAAGTCGACAGGAGGCCAAGACACAAAGAGGCTACTTTCTTTATAGGATATCGAATGACACAAAGACAAATCTGAACAATGAGGTGTTCCTACAAAATGTACAATGATTACACCTTAAAGACACTTCAAAATCAGCAATCTTCGAGAACCCAGAGAGCAGGCTCAGAAGACTACATCGTGACTCAAATGCCTGCAGAATAGTTTCTCAAGCAAGTGATGAGAGTTTTAATAGGGAATAGAACCTAAGCTAGATCTACCTTCATTAATTAATAATCGGGCACTACAAACACCCAATTCAACTATTCCCTTATTATTATCCTAAGTCTTAAAAAATTTCTGTGATGCTGAAAGATTTAACGAATTGCGAGGATAAAAATTACATCTTCTGAGGTGAAACTGAAAGATTGTGCTAGAATGAGAGAATATCCGGCAGTAGTAACAAAAATGTTCTCACTTTCTCAGACGTCAACTTCTCAAATCGATTCAAGGAATTTAAGATTTTTCACAGCTACTACCTCTTAAATTGGAGCAATAAGATATCACTTTATAAATATAATGATTTCAGTGTTATTGCATTAACATAACTATGACCTCATGGCACAGATACCCGATCTCGAAACAGTGACAGCTTGCAAATGTTTCTATCGACCTAGTCGCCCAAGGCAATCAACGGTGCGATCGATGTAATTTTCATTTAGTTTCTATGTGCTACCGATAGGAATCTCGCTCCGTAAAAAGTAACCACTTGCTTCTACTTCGCCCATGTTCGACCAGGTGACGCTACTTCCAAGGTAAGTCCTGGTAAGCACATACAAAAGCAGGCCTGATTGAGACGAGCACAATAGCTTTGACGTAGTGACATCGTTGACTAAGAGACTACATTTGACACCCGTTGCCCTACGTCAACCAAGTCGACCGTAATTCTTGATGCACAACTGCCCCTATATTTGTAACCTTTCACAGATATCCGATAGCACTTTCGCTTACTTAATTCAATATAACGAATGGATTCCGCAAGCTCGACTAATATTTTCTCGAGAAAAGCTCTACACGTTTCGGGAAATCACTACACCGTGGCCACTGTCGCCGGCAGCTCTGGTGCCTTTCAAGGCAGCCAAATGTAGCTGCACCGACACTACTGAATGCGATTTAGCCTAAGCTTTTCTCAAGTGGCTGTTCAAATCGACTTACAAACCATCTACTTAATCACCATTTGCAAATACATGGATTGTGATCTAAATCGAATAACAATGTGTTAACTGGGGCCAGAATCAAGACGATGTAATGTTCGCGGCGTTTTAAAGAATGCTAAATCGAAAACGAAACGTCCATCAGAATGACCAACAGAAGACGCGAGTCACTTTGGAACGAACGCGCGTTTGCTCATGACCGGTGGCATTCATTCATTCAGTTCCACAAACCACCTACTCACTCGATTCGCCCACTTGGCCACGTTGGACAAACTCCAACAAAGTACTGAATGAATTCTTCGAGTGAAACTACAACACGAAAAGACTCAAAGAAGCAGGCCTCAAAAAGGGACTTTGATTATGGCCATTCAAATGCTTCAATAAGAAATCTATCCACGCTACATCAAATAAAGCTCATTGACAAGTCCAACAGCTTATGAGGTGACCTCAACTGCCCAATCATTCAAAAAGACCGTCCAGCATCCACATCAACTCAACGAGTGGCATCAAATCCACAGGGGTTAATGTTGGACGCGCGACAGCTGAAGGCTGTGTAATTCGAGCTTGTTGTTTCATCTGAAATATTTGATTACAACAGCTTCGCATCACCTCGCTAAACGCTTACTAACTCTATATTAAAACGAAGTGAATGGTCATACGATCGAACTGCATTGCGGCGGAACAAAGAACATGGTTCCGGTTTCCGAGCGTCAATCAATGCACCTCAGGTCGTCTTAAGGATCGGTTTATGCGGCAGCGATTCCTTCCTAAAGCCTACTAACAACCTGTGACCAAAATAATGACGGATCACGCAGTGCACGTTTGGCCCACTTACGGTTTTGGTTGTTGTTCATTTACCACCCTCTCTACTTAGACGAGAAAGCACTGGTGTGAAAAATTACGGCTGCCTATTTTCTCTGACCTTGTTAATTCGTGGAAAATGTAGAAATTAGGCACATGCTTGGTGCGGAATCACCGTTGTATATCTCAACTCAATTTTCAGCGTATTGCGATTGCACAGGAATAGGCGGCAATAATGGCTGCAAGTCCACAAATACTCAGAAGGAAATAGGATGACTGCTGAAAACGCGGATTCACGATACCATCGCTAGAGAACTAGTGGTGTGTGAATGTGACCGCATTTTAATCCTCATCGATTTGTTCATGATGGTCACGAATGATAAAGATAAACCTACACTCTGAAGTGAATACTCCGCTCAGTTTTAAGGAAGCAATATCAAACTGTTGAGGTCCCTCACATATTAACTACGGAAAAACCAAAGAATTCTCGATGACAGATCATTAGTGAGACACAAGAACCAGCTAAACTACCCCTGCGTCCTAACGAACCATCAAATCGTCAGCCAGGTTAAAGGGAGTAATGTCAAAGACACGCTACGTCTCGCAAACGCATTCCGCAGAAGGCAGTTACGTACACACCTACTAGCTTGAGCAGCTTGGCAACAGTGACAATCAATTCAGCCAAGTCCCTAAGTTGGTCAGATGGCGATGCCGCTAGACACTGATGTTTGTTGCCAAAGGCAGTAATAAGGGTGACATCTGTCAGGAGGGACTACATACTACTTCGTTAGGCCACTGCTCCGACGGTAACAGCAAAGAGGAGGAGAACGAGGTCACAACTTAACGGCCTATCGGTTCTCAAACCACTACCCTCCCATTTTCGTCTTCTTCTACCTCGTGTGTTTGTCGAAAAACCCCTGTTTGTACTAAGCGTGCAACAGCTAGAAGGCTGCTGCCGCACGCACACACACACTTCTTCAGATTCTTAGTAATAGCAATGGACTTGATTGAGCATCTAACGCCTGCTGTTTATGTACCATGCCATCATTGATTTCTCCCTTGTCTTAATTCTTGTTCTCACTCGGCGCCACTCACAATTTGCACACCGGACAAGCACAACGCACTTGGCCCCGACGTCGCCGACACTCACTCCTTGCCCGCTTTTTGTTTAGGCAAACGCGCACACGGTTTCGGAAGCCCGGATTGCCTCTTAGTACGCCAATAACCCATCGTGCATTACCGTTCGTGCACCCAAAAGATTCGTAAGCAGCCATTGCCTACGCTGCACACTTTGTTGATTTACTGACCACGTCTTCAAACTTATCTATTGCTACATTAGTGCCGTTTATTAACGCTTATGTTTACCCAGTTTTGCAACGACGAAGTAGAGTGGTCACAGACGCATTCAGTCTTTAGCGTCTTTCACTGCGAAGTGGTCATCTAGCCATGAAAACACAGGTGTTGCAAATCGGGTGTTACACCGCTGTGCAACCACACGCTACCCATCTTTCACAATGCGTAGTTAATGACATTACCAACACCTTCACACATCAGCTATCGCGTTACTTTGAATGACCTAAAAAAGCCTTCTCAAATGCCTTGTGACTGACTCAATTCGGGATGCAATGAATGCTTTTTACGCCATCGATGCTGGTAAATTTCGTGGAGAACAATAGGACTCAAGGTAAACCCCTAGTCATGGTGCATGACTATCGACGATAAATACAGCACCACATTACGCGCAAAACCATTCCTGCTCCAGGACCTAGTGGGTTAACGCTTAGTTACTACATGTTAATTGGGCTCTTCGTCGCCCTGTAGGTGATAACCTACTCAACCGTGATCAATCCTCCATTAAAAAACTCTTTTCGAGTGAGTCATAGTTCAATGGTGACACAATTGTGCCGCAATCAAACCCAATTTCCCAAGGTACAAGCCAACAGTGACATGAAGTTTAGTTGTATGTCTGTGTCAATGAGCGTAACTCAAAACAGGTAAATAACACAACTACTTCGAAGTGACTTTCAAACGAACTTATGAATGAATCAATTTCTTGCTGCTCGGCTTCAGCTTCACTCCCTGGCCTTCAAATGGGCGGAAGGTGGCGGCAGACTCCTCCGGCTCCTCCTAAACACCATGAAAATGCATCAAAACCACTCTACTAATAAGTATAAGAAAACACGTTTATTAACCTACAACGTTCATGAAGCAATGAAAAAAACGCTCCCTCAAATTTCAAAGGCATTAAAATAGCAATTACTTGGTCAGTCACCATTAGTCATACTGCTCCGGAGTAACTACAGGTGGTCCATTGACTAAGTGTACATTTCCACGTACTTCTACTCGTTTTGGTGGTGATTTGAGTATGAGATTGCGTCAAATGGAAACACTATTCACCCAGCCGACTCGCACGAATGGTTACTTGCAACCGTACATGCACAATTGGATGACTGAAATAACCCTAACAAAACAAACCGTTCCAGTGGTGACTAATAGACGCCGTGATTAAGACCAAGCGCACGCAAAAGGCATTAAGGCACTAAGGAAACGTCCGCGACACGAAATCAATAAGATGATATAGCACCAGGACGCACCTCCTTCTGTTTGTTCGTCACACGCAAAAACGTGAGACTCCCAGGCTGGTAGTCAAAGTTTGGAATGCCGCTGAAACGAAGAAAAAACAAATCAGCAGTAGCAACTAGTGACTACTACAAGACATTCCATGTTCACTGCCTCCATCCTACTACCGATATCCCAGGTTGTGCTGCCGCACCACTGCTTATGTGCAGACACATCTTGCAAGTTGACGAGGAGGGTCGACTTCAACTGAGTGGTTTCCACTAATTCCACCGCAACCAATCCTGTGTCAAACACCTAGGGTCTGATTAAAGTCGAAACACACCAGCAGTAGTAGGGTAGACGCCACAAGGGACAACACCATGCATCACAGGCTCACACACGACACTGCGCAGCCACACAGTTTGGAGAAGAAGCATTGCAGACAACAAACGTCGGACTGCCACGGCTGAGCTTCTTATGTTCGTAATTCTCTTTAGACTGTGTCAAACGATGCACGCTGAGAGCCCTAGTGGGCTCAGAGGCCACCAACGTTGAACCCAGAGATCAAGGTATTGAGTGCTGGCCCCATTGGAAACCCACAACTCATTTCGTGTACTAAGTGACGACATACAAATTCAAGGCGACCAGCAAAACACCTCGATCTTAACAACCAAATCGCAAGATCGAGGCAGCACAGGAAAAGGGCACTATGCCACATTCCATTTGTCACTACTTACGTGCCACGCATCAAATAAAACTAACCGTTGAGTGATGGTGGGACCCGGAGCAGCTGCTACTCCTGCAGTTGACGTCTCATGGCTTCTGCCATCCAGTCGGCAACCGGCGCCTCCAAAAATCTAGGCACAACAAAAAAATTAAATTAAATTAGTCAGGCTTGACCGCTATTTCTCCACAACACTGTGGCGCCTATGCATGCAACATGCGTCCTCGCGTAGATAAAAATCACATGTTCAGCAATAGAAAAATTCCGGGCAATGTATTCAGCGATTTCGACACAAGCGTCGATCCGAAAGCTTTGTTGGTCCGCCATCACTCTAATTCGAGGCTAGCAAAGCACTCTTCTCAAACTTCCAACCCAACTCTTCAGCCCCAAATACACAGAAAATGTTTCAGAAAACTCGTGATGAAGCCCCAGTCTATGGTTCAGAGACTCGGAAGAACCTTGACCTCAACTCTAACGTATGTGACACAAATGGTTTAATTCAATATCTAAAAGCGTCTTGGTACACCCAGGGAAATCCTTTTAATATACATAAATCACTGCATACATGTGAACGACGTTTTCCGCAATCAGGTAACACAGTCCAAATATCTTGACGTGGGTGCCAACTTGGCACTGTCGGTTTTTACCAAATAGCACGTCAGTCCTTACATTGAGTGTTGACGGACCCAGATAACCAGGTACAAAACACGTATTTGGCTTTGTTATCGGGTTGAATAATGGTCTAAACTATATCGCAAGAATACGAGTCGAATATTATTCGAAATCGTATTCCTCACTGTACCTCGGCAACGTCAAAAACTCCCTTTTCGAAACGGCATGGATGGACCTTTGGTACATGGCATATGTTATTTCGCGGCACCGAAAACACTCAAGAAGTGGATAAAGTGAAAGAAAAATATAACCTTAAAATAGGTGGCAGCTATACTATACAGGCTCTTCAGGAGCACAATTAGTGGACTTGTTAGCACACACAAATTAGCGAAATGTGGATGCCCAAGAGGTCAAAGTTGGACCTGGCTGACAGGAGAAGGCGTCTAACACAAAATGGTCCGAAGCATCTTTTTTTCACAAATACTCATCTACTAGCGGATTCCAATAGTTAGCAATAAAGTTATCGCGTAAAAGCTGTCCCATTGTTACCTTTAAACCCTTTGCCTGGTCGGGTATGAGAGCTTCGTTATCCTCCTAAAACACATCCAAAGGTAAGGCCGGACAATCAATGCAGGCAGTTCCGGCAAAGGAGACTGTACACTTACGTCGTTCGCGCTCGTCTTCTCTTTAAGCACATGCTTCTCGACGTATCCGACAGGTGGCGCAAAGTCGACCTACGTGGCGGAGAAACTGATTTCACATATTTGATACATTATGTGCGCAGATTTCGCGTGTACACATTGCATTCAACAGACATGATGCTATAAACCACTGCAAACGTGTTTCAAAACCGCAGCACACACACACCTACATAAAAGAGCTCATTTCTGGACCTGCTGACTCTGCGCCGAAAGGCTTTTGTGCTTGGCTCACGAACTACACCTTATCAACATACCTCCACACTGCGAATGAACTCTTATTACGACCTTGGGGATATGCTGTACAGATATCCGCTGTTAGGTACAAATCGGTGGAACGAATCAGTGATAAAACGCATTGACATCACTCCTCTATGCAACCTCCTCGCCTGATGTAAACTGTGTTTTCATGCAATAAGTTTACACGTATTGCACACTAACTACTGCGCACTTTAAACTAAGCCCATTTTTGAGTTGAGGTCTTTAACACATTTCGATTACAAATTTTCCGCACTAATTGTTTAACCAAGGAGGGCCTTTGGAATAATTTAACGTGGTTATATTACGACAAAACCACATCAGTGAATTTGTTGATCAAAGTGAGGACTGGGTTCTTCGAAATGTACAATAATTTTGTAAGATCAGTTTTTTGATATTATCAATTCGCTTTGCACGAGTTTTCATCCCAAATTTAAACAAAAAAATTATTGCAGCGCAGGGATATTCCGCTAGCAATCAGATATTGCACCTTTTTTCAAAGTAACAGACTTAAACGTAGTAACATGAACTAATTTTGACCAGAATGGTAGCACTTCTGAATACCTAAGAAGCAGGTGAAGTTTGCATCTGAGTTTGGATGTGAACACAAGACACGCAATTAGACCAAAATAATCGATTTGAGGCAAATAGGTTCCAGGATTTGGTGGTTTAACACTAGTTAGACGATGATGACTACGAAGAGGAGCTTATTGAATGAAGGAAAAAGGCCCTTACGCTCATGTCGCATTCTATAATCCGAACAGCTCGGGCCGGCTGCAACTCCAGGACCTTGAGTTCGTACTTCGTGTCGTTGTAGGTGATGGCCAGCATGTCGTCGACAGTGAGGCAAGCAAACTTCCTCAAAGCATATTCCAATCTGCCAAGGGAAAATTAGTAGGCAGAGTGAGCTATATCAAGACCACTATGACCACCTAATCTTTGAAAGTCAACATGTAGAGGTCGCAACGTTGTCGCATTTATTTATAGCTCAAAGCGGGTGTGTTGGGGTCCGAAGGCTCAGGCGAATCTGATGAAATAGCACTGCGGCTTACGCGTCGGAAGGGCAGTTGGACGAGGACACTGCTCTCAGTGGAAGACGAACCCAAAACCAAAGTTATTCTGCCTCTGACTAAGAGCAACCAACAGATAAAAGAGACAGCATTACAGGCCCAATTACTGCGTACTTTGAAAACGCTTTACTTTTCAATGAGATAATGACGTCACACGCGTGCAAGAGTTAGCAGTTTTAACGAGGAAGTGCTCAACCGAAATTAGCACTGACGAAATGTCGGATCCTAATCAGGATAAACCACCAATAGGATGACCGAAATTATCTCTGGAAAGACGTATAAACGCGAATTTTCAAGCACAATGTAGTCGCTAACTTCACTGCATGTGCCGAATCAAAGCTACTTGAAATGGTATAGTGCATATTTAGCGCTGTGGCACTATGGTTTGACAACCGGCCTGGATATAAAACTTGTACATCAAGCTTTGATTCCTGACTTGTTAGTAGAACACGTAGCACTAGGGTCTGGGACGGGTTTGTATGGGCTACGTATTCCGTGCAGCTGCCATGAAAAGCTACCCCTTATGGACCCAAGGCGTCCACGTCCATGTAATTTCTCGAATTACATTCCATCAAACTGTTTGATGGAGTAACTTCGTAGAAAAAGTATACCATTTTTCAAGTGATCTCATGCGACCCGATAATCTACCAAGGCTAGTCGATTTACTCACGTATTGAGCAAAAATTAGGACCATGAAACTTTGGAGCGTGAAGTCAGTTATTGATCAGATAAGTCAATTTAGGTAAGACAACCACGTGAGCATTGAAAGATAAGTTGAGAAGTGACAAGTCTACGGCCTGTAGCAAAGTAAGCTTCAAGCTAGCTCCCATCGTACGCGACTAAAAGGACTCGGAACATGCTGATCTTAGACGCTAAGTTGGAACTGAGCGATCAAAACAGTTAGCATTTTCGCGTACACCAAATAGGGACAAATCACACCATTTGCATTTTCAAAACCAAAAATTAGGCGCGCCATTCAGCTCTTAATGCTATGGAGACGCATCTATGATCACAAATGCAGGAGATCCATTATAGCAACCGGATGAACAGATACCAATGGGACAAGACAGGCCTCTACTAATGTAAAACGATACCATCAGACCCATTTAGATGGTTTATAGGCAAATATTACTGCTGTGGTTCATAGTCTTTAATACGAAAAGTATGCGCAAAACTAAGTCAACTCTTAACACCCTTTTCTCGAAATTCTAATTGCCGTCTATAATATAGACATTTTTTGTTAAAAACCACCAGTTTTAGCTTTCTTACAGACATTTTAAAGAAAACAGCCATTCATGCTACACATACACGGCTTTCGGATTGGATATGTCCAGGAAGGACTCAGACTGTGGTTGAAATTTGGCGAAGGTGGCCACAGGCAGGACGATGCTTTTAACATGAACTACATCGCCTTCCTCTAGACAGAGGTTCTGCAACATCCAATAAGGAACGTAGATCCTGCCCTCATCGGCAACGAATTCAAGAACACCACAGTGAGTGCTTCTGTTTGCCGCAGGATTGGTCAATTTAAAGGTCATCGGATTTTGAGCATTAAGCCTAGCTGCGGGGAAGTAGGAAAAAGCAAAACGGGGACTTACTTAAGTGTTCTAAGGCCGAGGGTGGCATCAGAACTAAATTGGAATGTATTGAAATAAAGCATAGTTCATACTTTTCCCACCGTCCTTGATGTCTTCTCGAGCCTTCCCAGGGGTAAAGGAATGAGAGAAGCACTGATATGAGGTTGAAAAGGTTGATCCCATGTGAGGAAATAGCATTTCAAACTGAAAATGGGTGCGGTGAAACACGAAGGACAAGGGTTTACCATCTTGTAATCTATATAAAAGAGAAGCATTCAATATGTCAAACTTCAGACAATAAGTACACCAAAAGAATCTTTTTTCAAACAAGTAATAACGGAAACCACGAGAGGAAAAAATCATTACGATGCATTGACTTTTGGAAAATTTAGCACGGGCCGACACTCGAACAAGGGACTTCGGATGCTGTACAAACCATTAACGCGCAGTCTGCACGAATTCGCCGTAAGCATGATCCTAGGATGTGTCATTACGCTCCAGTTTATAAATGCAAATTGATATTACGTGTATAGCTGTCATCCACAAACAAACAAAACCACAGCCAACAGGAATTACACTTGTCAGTTCCCACGAAGCAGTTTAGGCAACTAAGCTAACTTTAACCACCCACTCATAATTAGAGGCAGAGTGCTCTTTTAATGACTTGTTTCTTAGATGAGTATAAGGCCACAGGTACCATTATTTAAGAGTTAAACGACTTTTCAGATTTATTCACTTGGGTAACACCATTTACATTCCATGACAAGTTTTACATTAATCTGACCCATAATAACAAATGATCCTAGTTTCGAAACACACACTGTGTCAAGGCAAACGGAAAGGATCCCTTGTAATATTACGAATTAGCTGCATTCAAATGAAAGGCATTTGCGTCAAAGAATCCCAAGCCTTCAAAACCAGGTACAATAGTCCTAAATATCTTGAAGTGGAAGCCAACTTATTAGTGTCGTCAACCATTCCATCTAGTGTGAACAGACCTATCAAAACATGTACGATGAGTTATTAGGCTTTTGGGATAATTTATGATAGTTTCTGAGTCGAACGTGATCAACGAAAAACTACAGTAAGCCTTCAAAAAGTTATTTTATTCGCACTCTTAACGGTAAAAAAGGGAATGCTGTTGATGAAATCTGAAAACATCGAGTAACGTCACAATGTTAACAACTACTATCTAACACCACGTACATTGACTGCAACACGAAATCCGAAGTTTCCGTCTATGTTTATACCTATAGCTTAGGAATATGTTTAGACATATTGTAAAAAAGTAATTTAACTGTGACTAAGACTTCACCAAATTCTACATACGACAGGGAACAGCAACATGTCATTAACAAGCACTGCTTTTAACGACAGATTGTCAAAGCACCAAGGCGTGGCACCATTTGTTGACGAAAGAGACCGCATTAAAAAAATGGAAAAAAACGTCCACCCAATTTCTTGTCAGATAGCCTAGACTTAGGATTGGCCAAGAATTCCTAAACGAAAAAATTAACAAAAACAGACCTATACAGCGCAAAATTACCTACACTCTAGCTAAAACAAACTTGCTTAAAAAACATGCAAAGATTAAAAATAGTTGTAAAACTGGTTTAAATTAAATAATATAGCGACCGATTTACGCACACTAATTAAGAGACAAATCAAAATAACAAGGTATTTAGCGGACTGATACAAACAAAGAACGGTGATCAAAATTTAATACAAATGTACCCTAAAATTCGCCATATTCATTACAATCATTTTTATTTACCAATAATTTAGATTTTGTCAGAAATCCAAATAGAATATTTAATTGAATACTTTGTTCTATGCCCTCTTTCCTCAATCGCTGACGGCAGAGAGTATCCTTGACAAATTACCTTAAGACAGATAAATCCATGTAATCTCTTGGCTAAAAGCTTAGTAACACTAGATAGAGGGACTGTCACGCCATTCGGTAAAATCCGACAGTGCCAAGTTGGCACCCACGTCAAGATATTTGGACTGTGTTACCTGATTGCGGAAAACTGGCGATTTTAATGAAGCAAATGCCGTTCACTTGTATGCAGTGATTTGGGTACATTGCAAAATTTTCTCGGAGGGTACCAAGACACCTTTAACTATTAAACTAAACCATTTGTGTCACATACGTTAGAGTTGAGGTCAAGGTTCTTCCGAGTCTCTGAACCATAGACTGGGGCTTCATCAC